CCCACTCATTTTCGCCAAAATGGACCACTAGACAAGGTACGAATTTCAGCATTCTGATACAGGTTTCTTAACCGAAATTTCACGTAGAACACGATGCGCACAACAAAAACTACCAAATCAACTCCTTACGAAGAAATTAAGTGATTCTTGATGAGTGAATTCAAACCACCCGCTCATGAAAACTCAATGCTATACGTAATTCACATCGCGCGCTAAACGTCATCATGACAGTCTCTGCTATATAAAAATCTGGCAACCTCAATCTTGACGCTTTGGCTCAGTTATAGCGAATTGCTTATAGTTTGAACAACACATGGTGGGAAATGAACATTGTTCGATTGAGAAGCTCGCTGAGACCGTTGTGGTGCGCGATTTGACTTACGTAGAGCTTTGAGTTTCTTGTGAGCGGGCCTTTCAAATTCCTCATAACCAATGTGAAATAAAAACGTTAATATCTTCCTTAGGAGTTGATTTCAGTAATTTTCGTTGCGCAACTGTGTTTCGCGTGAAATTCTGGTTCGGAAACATGTATTAGAATGCTTAAATTCGTACCTTGTCTAGTGGTCCATTGTCAGTTAGAACAATATAACCATATATAACCAAATGATTTCATATTGTTCCTAGCCTTCGATGTGTTTTTGATCGCACGATTTGCCTTCTGCAGTTAATACCGACAGAAACTCCTGTAACCGCGCCGCCGTGCTGAGGAAAAACGCCGTATGAACATTCGAGAGTTGCCAAATTTCCCCCCGATAAAACATGCCTTTTTAAGGAAAATGCGTTTTTTTGCTTGACATTTTCAGATATTTTAGATTAAATTGCAAACAAAACTGGAAAATTTGAAAAAAAAAACATGCAACATTTTTCAAGAAAAATTAGGTTTCATTGAGGGAAATATGGCAACGTCCGAAGGCTCATACGGCGTTCTTCCTCAGTACGGCAGCCATTCTCATGCTATTGAGTTGCAATCGGCATGGAGAGCGAATATCACGATCACGCTCGTTGCGATGGAGCGAGCCGCAAGGACATTTTGATTGTTGAGTCTGTTAGGGAACAGTGCCCNGGGGGGGGGGGGGGGGTGGTAGTGGGAAGAATAGTAGCAGTTTTCAGCATTCCTATCCACGAGTGTGCACGCCACTCAAAGATGCTTTGCATCATCAATTTCATTCTGAGCTGAAAAGCCGTAAAGCTGCTCCAAGGAGCTATGAAAAGCCGAGGGGGTCTGAAGAGGCGTTGCAGTGGAAAAAAAGTGAGTTGTCGCCTCCGTCAGCGTTTTCTTCCGCCCCAGCAACAACCACTTATCTCGACTGGAACAACTATTCAGTTACGCGGTTCTTGCTTTGTGGCTTCCAGTCTTGAGCTCTTGGTCCTCCTGGGTTCTCTCCGTTCTGCGCATCTCTCTTTACCGTCCTTAATTTCGCTTGTCGTTAACTTGCCATTATACTCGTTCTTCTTCTTTTCGAGATGCAATGCGTCATATTGGCCAATTATTCCTGGTAAAATTCGAGTGCAAAAGGATTCATGTTAACGGCACATGTTCTACCATACTAATCTGCTGTCCTTAGCAAAAGCGCCGTAACTCCAGTCTAGATTTTTGCAGCTTTTTACCGACGAAATGTTTCATTACCGAACAACCAACATCCATTTGGACTGAGTTAAGCAGAAAGGAACCAACCCACATTTTGAAAAAAATTGAGTTATGACTGGTTTCAAACTCAACCACTGCTCTACTATGTATCGCCAAAAATTCAAAGTTTTTGTTGGAGCAAATTTTGCAGAAATTGAATTTGAAGTTTATCTTTTACATTGAGTCTTATGCAGGAGCTAAACTTTAAGCCTCTTTTTCTCGGTTCGATCCCGATGTGGCTTGGTTCCTTTCTGTTTATCTCCGTCCATTTATCCTTCATTCTAAGATGATTGCAGCATACCGTTGAGGACGATTCAAATTTACAAATCGAAGCATCGTAGTGATCATGTTTTCTCGCAATAGAACAGTATGTGTCCAAGAAAAATGTGAAGTCTTAATAGGAGTTACGGCGTTTTTCCTGTGAACGGCCGTAATGAAGAAATACGTTGGACGTTCAATTGATCTTTAAGTTTTTATTATCTCTCTACTTACTAATGTTTAGGTTATTAAATTAAATCTCATCATCTCTATTTTTACATTATATTTAAGTGCTGATTTATTTGAAATTGATCAAATTTCTTTCGATTGAATGGACCGAGTTTTATGGAACCGCACTGAGTCGTATTTTGGAATTGAAATTGGATGGAAGTGTTGAATTTTTCTTGTTATTACAGTTTTTTCTATCAAAAATTCAAAATCGAGAAAAAAACATTTTCAACGTGAGTCTAATTCCATTTGAAGTTTAGTGAAAGTATCCTATTTATGAAGTTGAAAAGAAGGCTTCTTTAACCATCCCTTTATAAAAAAGTGAATTATAAGGCTCTCCTGAAGGATGAGAGATATGTTGAAGAAATGATCCTGTATACAGGAAAGCGGTGTGAGGAAGAACTGGCTGAAAATCTGGCACAGGATGGAACAAAATAAGCAAGCTTGAAGTCTCATTATTAGAGCATTGCTATCTGCCACTACGAACTGATGGGTTATCTCCGCATGCCTGTTTTAATTACCAACTTCATTGCGTGGATACCACTATTGCGGTTCCCGTGTCCTCGAAATTGCCTATATTATTAATTGAAGGCGAGACATTGTCTTGTCGCTAGCTCCAAGCGAATATCACCATTTCAGCTCCTATGAGCCCAACTTCACCGTTTTGATACAATGAAAGCAAAATCCCTCGACTTGGTTCACTACCTGTTGGACTCATACGCCCTCCTTTCAATGATTGAATTTTGAAAAGTAATTATCTCATTCAAATGAAACTTTTTTGGTGCGCAAATGGAAGTAGTTCAGATCTTTAGGTTTCTCTTGAAAGATTAAATAAGCTGTACAATGTTAGCAACATTGTAACCATAGGAGTCCCTGATTGCAAAATTCAGTTTAGTTAATTTTTGAAGTTTACATAGGCCGCATTTTGTAGTATGAAACTTCTATTTCTAGCTCATGCAAAAATGTACGTATCTCTATATGGAAACTAATGATACATCGATGGTGTTAGTCCGCAACCACGTATCTCGTATGCGACGTTGCAGACTTCCTGCCATACTTTACTTTTTAAATGGAAAACTACTCGACGGGAGCTCTTAAAAACTTCCGTGATTTTTCTTGTCTTTCCGAAGAAAATCCTGCAGGAACTTCAAGGAATGATGTCGGTTTGTTCTCTTTTAAAAAATAAAATAGGAGCGGAAATTTTCAAACATCGCCAACGGGATACGTGGCTGTAGACCAGTGTTCGAAACTCACATTTGAGTTTTAGGAGCCAAGTGCAGCATCAAGCCCAATTTTTAGGCGCCATTGAAGATTTTTTAGGGGCCAAATTGACTTTTTGCCCATATAGTACGGCGCATTTAGTGAAAAGTTAGACACAAGATGTTTTCGTAACAGAACTAGTAAGTAGCTGTAACTTGGGGAAGACAAAAGCACTAGGAATGGAATCGTGAAGAAAAGAAAAAGCAAGCTTTCACTTGTAGTGCTGAAAATTCTGATTTTTTTCAATTTAAATAGATTCGTTTTTCTTTCTTTATGTGACTTCCTGTGAAAATCTAGATTTTTAGGGGGCAATTTTTAGGGGCCACGTTGGCGCAGAGCCTTCATTTTTTAGGCGCCATGGCCGATTTTGTAGGCGCATTTTGCGCGTTGGCGCCTGGGAGTTTCGAACTCTGCTGTGGACTTACACCGTCGATATGTTGTTCCTTAAATTAGCCAGGAATAGTTGCAGAATATGTAGTACCCATGATGATCAGCATGTCCCGCTTGAAAAACTTTGATAGGGAACCTTGTCACGAAATACTCCAATACGTACCCCATCAAGGGATCCATTGAATTTATTCGGAGAAGGTATTTCAGCATAGCAAAACGTCGAAGAAAAAAAATCTTGACTGTTTATCAGAGCGAGAGACAGTCAAGTTGACAGTTCACGGAAAGTTCGCGAGATCGCACCGCTGAACTTTTCGCGATAGACATAATTGAACGAGGCGAAAGTGGTAAGCGATCGAAACCCCGGCAGCTTTGTCGAGGACATTGTGTCCGAAGCCCATTAATTATACGGACTGTTTTCGACGTCCAACTCTGCCGTGCTGCGTAAGTCCATTCGCACATTGCCGACTTTTCCGGTACAAAACAGGCCTTTTTAAGGGAAGTCGTGCATATTCGCTCTTGAAATTTTCAGATATTTTAGACCAAACTGCGAACGAAATAGTCTGAAAAATTTAAAGAAAAACCATTCAAGATGTTCCCAGTAAATTGGTTTGTTTGTATCAGAGAGGATACGGCAACGGCTGAAGACTCTTACGGCGTTGTTCCTCATGGTAGTACGGCAGAACTCTCGCTTGATCGAATCCGAAGTTTTTGACCCGATGTCGAGTTCGGGCGAGACCACCGTTTTGACAATGGCCACAACAATGTGGTCACTACTGGTCAGGGCGTATCTCAATTTCCGGATGAGCCCCAGAAAGCATGGATTTACACGCGAAATAGGGCTCACGTAGTGGCGTGGCGTGCTTTGCGTCGTATCGATTGTTATGCCACTTAAATCTATGGAAAAGGATCGATAAACAGGGTGTTCGCAGCGAACACCTTAATAATCGATTCTTTACCATAGGTTTAAATGGCAGAACAATCGATATATCGCAATTCACGCCACGCCACTGGGCTCGCGTGGAGATCAAGATACGCCCTTACGTCAGAGGAGCGACGGATTGCTCAAGTCGACTGCCACTAAGAGACGACCCCAAACGAAGATTGAAGAAGACGAGAAGCCGCGTCGCGTCGCGATGCGTTGACGTCTGCGGGCTGATCACTGTCATTGAAAAACAAAGCTATAGACAAAGAAGAGATATTAGACAATTCTAACCAGAAATGGTGTAATTTGTTTCAGGTCTCCGCAAAGTGTATCCTTACTATTTCACATTCACCACCTTCACGAAAGGCCGATGGGTTGGCGAAAAAATCCTCGACGTCTTTGCCCGAGAATTCAGGGCTCATCCCGCCGAAGAATACGTAAGTGGTTTTTTTTGTTAGTTTTTTTTTTTTTTTACTACTTCAAATAGCCCACGAGGGCTAATCCTTGCGCTTTAGTCCCTACCCCCCTCCGTTCCAATCCAATCCAATCCAATCCAATCCAAAAATTAAAAGTAGCGTATCTTTCAATCAAAAAGGGGAACTATTTATTGTTCGCTTTTTTTTAAAAACATTCTCAACTGCACGAGACAAAATGTTTGTAGACAAGACTTTTTGTCATTATGCATTTCATCAACACTTGAAACACTTCGAATTATGCTTTTAACTCAGTCTAGTGGTTCTTTGAAGATAAAATTGACGTATTTCTGTCAAACGGAACTAAGCGCCATGGAAAAGCATTGCGAGTATAGGACGGAACGAGCCCGACGCCGGTTTCCGCCGCCAATCCAAGCCCCCCTCTACCTTCCTCCCCCTATGGCGCTTAGTTCCGTTTGATAGAAATACGTCCAAACAAGGTATATTTGTGTTCCCTTTAGGTGAAAATATGCTCTTGATTCCGCAGAAAATCCATGCTTGGTGGCAAAAATTACAAGTGTCTATCTCCTGATTGTGAGCAGTCCCAACCCACAGCTGAATTTCTGTCAGGCTGTGAAGAGTTCTCTTCGCTAATTTATTCGTTGGTTCCCTATCGAAAGAACGTAACTATACGTTTCAATGTTGCCAAATTTCCCCTAGCAGGTTGCATTTTTAACACGAGAATTTTGGAGATTTCTAACTGGTTTTTTCACTGGTTTTTCTTCTAACCTTATGAAAAAATTAGAGTAATTTTCGACAAAAATTATAGGAGTTAAATTGGATTGTTCGAGTCATTCTTGCGACGCTGGAATAGAGTAACGTTTCTTCGTCGGGAAACGACGAATTTTCGCTCACTAATGGTTTATTTTATATTTTCTTCCAACAGGAACGGTGTATACGGAGTGGTTCCCTCACCGTTAATTATGAAAGGGTGGACGTTGACTACAAACTCAAACATAACGATCTTCTCGCCAATGTCGTTCACAGGTATGTAATTTCAACCCTCAGATTTCCCCTCCCATTGTCTCTAACCTTCTTTTATGACGAAAGTTTTGAATAAAACGACGTAACGTGGGATATTATTCTTCATTTTTATTCATTTGATATTATCCTTTCTTCTCTATTCCACCCTGGAAGAAAACAGTACAATAGATTCGTCCCCAGACGTTATGGTTTAACTCAACGTCATCCATTTATTTCGGTAGAAATTTAAGCTTTATGATGACGAAAGAGTAAGAATTCTACCTTAAATAGTATGGATGGAGTATGGATGAAGTATTAATAGTAATGGATAGAGCCAATGGAGATGTTGCATGTGTGAGGAATTTGCGATTTGACTGTTGATTCTTACGTAAAAGTTCGCGAGAAACACGATGGTGCCACTGGTTTTCTCTGAAATCAGCTCCCAAGCTCAAAAAAAGCTCTCAAGTTGAGGCCAAAATGGAGGGGATATCCCACGCTATCCTGAGAGTCCACCTCTACATCAAGACAAACTCTCCATGTAAAGATAGGGAGCAAATACATTGACAGGGCTGCCACTTTATTTGGGGACTCCAAAACTGAAAACACGGCATCCCTGTTAATGTATTTGCTCTCTATCTTTGCATGGAGAGTTTGTCTTGATGTAGAAGTGGACTCTCAGGATAGCGAGGGAAATCCCCTCCATTTTGGCCTCAACTTGAGAGCTTTTTTTGAGCTTGGGAGATGATTTCAGAGAAAACCAGTGGCACCATCGAGTTCCTCGCGAACTTTTACAAAAGAATCAGTAGTCAAATCGCAAATTCCTCACACATGCAACATCTCCATCGCGATCCCTTCTGCCCGGCGGCGGTCACGAATCGGATTTTTCGCCGGCGAAATCTGAATAAGTGACGAGCGAAGACAAAGAGGGAACGCGGCCGCCGCGACGTCGGACGGGACGTCGACGTGGACGTAACTAGGTTGGCGACGACAATGTGCTCCTCTCACGGGGACGACCGCGTCCGCTGCCCACACGCGTCGATGCCCGTCAGACGCGCAAAAATAACAGAATCCGAGCAAAATTTAGGTTGGGTCGCTTAATCATTGCGCGAGGTGCAGTCTTAAATTAAGCATTACAAATGAACTCCGATGAATAATGCAACGTGACACTTGGCAAAGACGAATCCGACGAGGGGCTCAACAGGGAATAGCACCCCCCCCCCCCCCCCCCCGGCCGCCGGCCCCCCCTCGCGGGGACCCGAGACAAAACAAGACTCGGTACCGACGGGTCTTGACAATTCGCGACGAGACTTCTCAAGGTTGCCAGATAAATGCAGCCCGAGTTACCTGACGTAGGTCAAAATTTCTAACGCACACTGAAAAAAAATCTCTGTGTATTTACCAAGAAAAGGGTAAAATTACCAAGAATTCAGGGTTCTATTTGATTCCAGTTTTTTCTTGGTAAAATGACCATTTATGGAATTGGTAATTTTACCGAGGAATCTCGGTAAAATTATTGACTTTCTCGGTAATTCTACTGATTCCCGGTAAAAACGCCAATATCTTTTATCGACTGTGGTAGAATTACCGAGATAAAATGGCAAAGTTACCGGGAATTGATTACCAATAAAAGTGGTATTCTTACCCGAAAAAACAGTAAAAATACCGGTTTTTAGGTAAGCTTACCAGTCTGTCTTGATAAAATTACCAATAATTGGTAAAAAAAAAGTGAGATGGTAAAGGTACCAACGGACCTTGGTAATAACTCCGAGAATTTTTTTTTAGTGCAGCAGCCCGTGACAATGGTGATATCAAAACCATAGGAGAAAAAACGGGAAACAAGGCTAAAAAGCTCACATACAAATTCGAGACGTTTCGGCTCAAAACTGAGCCATTTTCAGTCGGAAGAATAAAACTAAAATATAAAAAATTCCAAATAGAAACCTCTCTTCTCTTGGTTTTGATTTTCTCGGCCATCGTGCAGTCTGCAGGTTTCTATTCGAAATTTTTTATATTTTAGTTTTATTCTTCCGACTGAAAATGGCTCAGTCTTGAGTCGAAACGTCTCAGATTTGTATGTGTACATTTTAGCCTTGTTTCTCGTTTGTTCTCCTATGTTTTCGATGTTAGGTACCTGACGTCAGAGTCTCTTTATACTACGCCGATAAAAAAGCTCGATCGAGCCGAATGGATTGTATTCGATACATCTAACAGGTAAAAAAATGTGTAGTGAAAATCAATCATTGAGAGTATATACCGTCCTCGCAAACGGGGAAAGAAAGCGCCTTGATTTTCTCAATGTTAAGTCTGAATACAACTATTCGTGCTCCAGGGATGTGCGCGTTGCATGCACGCAAGATTGCAGGCTCTCTGATTTTCTCATTGGCACAGCTTGGCCAGTGGCGATTCGTGCAAGTTGACTGTACCGTGTTTCTACCATGTAAATCCATCATAAATACTGCCGTGCTCAGGAAAAACGCCGTATGAGCATTCGAATGTTGCCAAATCGCCTCTCAGGAAATATTTATTTTTGAAGAACTTTATGAATATTTTTCTTTGAAATTTTCAGGCACGTTAGGTCAAATTATGGGTAATGTAGCATCGCGTCCATGATATTGGACTCCATGATCACCCATATAATGTTCGGTTGCTCATCACGTCCAAGATCTTGGACTCCATGCTCACTTTAATGAGAGATAATTTTGTAGAAAAATCGAAGTAAGCATAGCGTCCAAAGTTGTGGGATGCAGCTATTCTCTGACAACACATGAGCATATGGTCCAATTATTTATTAAGACAATTTTTGTGGAATAAAGACGAAAAAGATGTGTTTTCGTAAAAAGTTGTGCATTGGTTAGGTTAAGCTAAGTTAGGTTTGGTTAGGTTAGGTTGGTTAGGTCAGTTCAAGTTAGATCAGACAAGAGAAGTATACGATTTTCTATCATTATGAGCTTTAAAACTAAGAAAGGTCTGCTTGCTATTGGACTCCATGCTAAAGCAAAGAAGTGAGAAGTTTAGCGATGAGCATGGAGTCCAAGATCTTGGACGAGATGAGCAGGCAAGTATATCAAGGGTGAGCATGGAGTCCAATATCATGGATGCGATGCTACATAATCAAATTATGAGCGAAACCCTCCGAAAAATTCGCAGAAAAATATTTTTAAATTTTCCCCAAAATTCATGATTTATTGAGGGAGATTTTGTAACGGTTGAAGGTTCATACGGCGTTTTTCTTTAGCACGGCAGAATAGGTGCTCAATACCAGCCTGTTCGATGTATTTCGACTGTTTTAAGCGCATTATATTGCACTAAATATTTCCTTAGCGCTTGAATACCTCAATCCTAATTTTCAGAGGATGCGTACGATTTAACAGCTTTGTGATCATTAGTCGCTAGTGCAAATGTGGGAGGAAATAGGTACACATGCAACATTTTCCTCTTTTTTTAAAAACTCGAGGTGGAATAAAAGTTCCTTGAGAGAAACTTGCCGCGAAGCCTCATGTGGGTTCTCAACTCAAAGTTGTGAATACAAGATTCCCCGACCACGCATTAGTCGAGAAGAATGTGTCCCTGCCCGTGTGGCGCACAGTGGTGAACCGTCGAGAGAGATTGGACGTGAAACTTATGACTAAAATCGTTTGGTTTTTCGTCGAATTATACATTAAAAGGAGTGTTTTTCGAAAGATATTCGACGAGGCAACCAACGGGATAAATTTCAAATTTCTAGGGTTTTTACTGACGGAGATAAGAGCGTTTAAAGTTTCTGCACCGTGTCAGATGTTTCGGTCGCAGTGTGCGTCGTATCAGCATCGGTAGAGAAGAGAGTAATTGGAAAAATGGCAGCCGCGAAAAAGACGCGACTCGAAATTCCGGCGCGAGTTTCCCGTTCGCGTCCGCGTCCGGCGCACAGCGGATCGAGTCCATAGGAGAGGTCGGACAAAATTTGGAAACTTCGAACGCTTATAACTCCGATTGTACAAAACTTTAAGGCTCTGAAAGTGGTTCCATTGGTTTCCTCTTGAAATTTTTTTCTGAAAGCACCCCTTGAAATTTAAAATTTGACAAAATAAACATCAAAATTCGCAGTTTTTGTCAAATATTTCATGTCCGACCTCTCTAATTGACTCGATCCACTGTGCGGCAGCGGAAAACTTCAAACGGAGACGTATACTATGTGTTTCATCGCTGTTTCCGTTTATTTCATCCGGAAATGACGCGCGGTCGACGGGGGTAAACTACCCACCAAGTGACCTGTCCCCTTTTTCGCTCTTTTTATGCTTTTCTATCGTGGAGAAAACGCATCCCGCTTCGATGTATTTAATTTTGTGTCCTCTCCGTCGCTACCTGCGGCTTCTTCATTCGTGGTTTAAGACGCGTACCTTCCACTTGTATTTATCGGGACGTCCAGGTATCATTGAGGAGTGAAGACTGAGTTCCTCTCAGGAAGTTAAAAACGCAAGCAAATATCCATTATAAATTGTAGAAGTGCTTAATTTAAACCATATCAGTTCGTATTTTCGGCTTTTTTTATCATTGGCTCTGAAAGAAGAAAAGACTGAAAAGGTGTGGAGCCGTGAGACCTTTACAAGATATTCTCTTAGGTCAAATCAAAAGTCTCTTTGTTTATAGACATCTTTTTGGCGTAAAGATATTTTTTTAAAATGATTTTTTCGAATTCGAAGAATATCAATTTTGTCCTATATGTCAAAATTGTATTCTTTTGAACTGAGAAAATTTCACCTGAATCATAAAACAAATGTCTTTTACTCAGGAATGTTTCTTCGCATTAAAAACGAATCCTTACCTCAAATTTTGTTTATTTAAATCGAAGAGAATTTTGTTTCAATTTTTATTTTAAAAAAAGCTCTTTTCAACTTTTTTTCCATGCAGATATTTTTTTCCAAAATTGATCAGGAAAACCTGAAGAATTCACTAAACTCCAGTTCTAATCGCAGCCATCCTGAGTACAAGTCTTTCGCTACCAGAATTGTTATGTGCAACGAACACGGGCTTTCGGAGGTATCGAATACGGGAGGGTTTTGACAGTTGATGATTGTCCGGGGGAGGGGGAGGGGGAGGGGGACGAGTAATGATCGGGGCGGAATGAAATTTCTCGTCATTAGCAGCTTCCCGATGGCGTAATTAATGTATCCGTTTGGGACGTAATCAATTTAATTTTCATGCGCAGATCCTGAAAAGCGATCCGAAAAGTGGACAGAGTCCTCCCTGTGAATGATTTGAATCGAAACGGGACCCGGCACGGTGTCACCGATGACGAAACTGACAACTGAGCCGGTCATTCTGTCCGTCATGAGCCCCGAAATACTCGGGATCATTATCATTCTGGGGCTCATTTGAAAATGACCATGTTCTCTTTAATAAATGACCCGGATCCCATATATACGGACGTATTTTTATCAAACAGAACCACGTGCATTATGACGTGAGCCCTGTTATGCATATATTCTTATGGGTCTCAGGGCTCATGTCTGAATGCACATAGTTCCGTTTGGGAGAGATACGTCTATATCATTCACAGACGCGCGAAAAATGGGAAACGGGGTGACGGATGATGGAAGTTAATCATTCAAAGGCAAGGATGATATATTGCAGAAACCGCGCAGTGGCGTGGCGTGAATTGCGATATATCGATTGTTATGCCATTTAAACCTATGGGAAAGGATCGATAAACTGGGTGTTCGCAGCGAACACCTTAAAAATTGATTCTTTACCATAGGTTTAAATGGCATAACAATCGATGTATTGCAATTCACGCCACGCCACTGAAACCGCGCACTGCTTTCTTTCCGTATAGTGTACAAGTTACTTTAAGAGGTCGAGGCTCAGTTTCGCCGGATCCTCGCCCTTTTGACAGGGCTGCAATTTTTCATGAAAAATGAAGTCTTGAAATCTCACGTGAAATATTTCATGAATTTCAGAAATTTATGAAAGATATTCAAAATACCGGTTCCTTTTCACGTTTCGCAAAATGTAAAAATTGAGACTTTCTTCTATTTTTGTGTGTATGAGTGCGGGCTGTATACTCAATCCCCTGACAAATATGAAATATTGAAGAGGCTCGCGAAATTTCACAGAAATTTTCAATCTTTCATATTTTTTATGCAACCCATTCATGCAACCCTGCCCTTTGACGTAAGGGTGTATCTCGATTTCCGATGAGCCCCAGAAAGTATGGGTTTATATGGACTGCATTTTGCAATTTGGACCTATAAATTCTGGCTCATCTGAAAAAATACTTATGTGCATAGGGAAACTAATGGCACATACGTTGTTTTTAAACCGGGCCGGAATTCATAGGTCCAAATTGCAAAATGCAGTCCATATGTCAATCAGGGCTCACGTGAAAATTGAGATACGCTCTTATGTCAGAAGGGCGACACAATGACCGAAGAGTTTAGTTGCGAGTAGTTTTAGTAATTGCTACGTGATTTGCAAAAATTCGCGGGCAAAAAGCTCCCCCACCTTCATCACTCATCATCATAAGGCGAATTTTACTTGATTTTCTGCTCAACAAGTTGCTCATCAATCATCATTTAACGGAAAAGAGCGTTGACCTCCGAATTTAATTCTCGCCTTTCGACGGTAAAACTTCCAAACCACACGGAGAAAAAAAACTCGTGCGTGGGACCCGAAGTTTAGGTCATATGGATCTCTGAAGTTTTCAGATTGAGCATCTGAACACTTTAGGTCTAGCTGCCGAAGTTCAGATCATACATCTGAAGTACTTCAGTTCTCACATCCGAGGTACTTCGGTTCTCACATCCGAAGTACTTCGGTTCTCACATCTGAAGTACTTCAGATGTAAGAACTGAAGTTTCAGATGTATGATCCGAACTTCGGCAGCTAGACCTAAAGTGTTCAGATGCTCAATCTGAAAACTTCAGAGATCCATATGACCTAAACTTCGGGTCCCACGCACGAGTTTTTTTTCTCCGTGCACGTATCTCGGTTTGTGATGTTGCAGACTTCCTGCTATTCTTTATACTTGGGAAAACTACTGAACGTCAACTCTTTAAAACCACCGTGTTTTCCAGTCATGTGCGAAGACGATTTTGGGAAAACTTGAAGGAATGATGTAGATTTATTCTCCTAAAAAATTAAATAAATAAAATGGAACGAAGATTTTAAAATACAGCAAACGAGATCACCATCGATATTGTCTCTGCGTACATCCATCGACCATCAGGCACGAAGAGTTGTAATCAGATTTTGCTACCAAGGAAATCAGAGCGCCTGCAATCTAGAGTGTATGCAACACGGACATCCCTGGAGCACGAATAGTTGTATTCAGATAGTCAAGGCGCTTGATTTGCTTCAGTTGTTCCGCCTGCGAACACATCTGTCAATGCCTGATTGAAGCGCGGGGTACAAAAAAGACGCCAGGTGTTTTAGGATCTTCTTTGCTAATTTATGCATAAGAGAGGAAACTGTCGGGTGAATTTCGTGACATTTTTCGTTTAGAGAAATGTAAAAGCATGAAAAATTCTCAGTGGAGGTTTCAGTGCATTACATAAATTTACTTCGACCATAATAGATGAAACGCTAGCGGAGATTCTTAAGTACAGCAATCGAGAGGTGCTCCAACCAAACCCAGCACTTCAATTTTTTTATAATACTTTCATTTTGAACTAGCCTATACGTGTGATATTTGGTTAAAAGTGACTTTAAAATATAGCCCTAAAATATGTACGACGATGGATTTAAAATCCGCATGAATGAAGCATGCAAACCACCTACGAGGCCACCTACCATGTATCCACCTACGAGGTATGATTTTTTTCCCTCCAAGTTCCAAGTAGCATTTTTTAATGGAAAAACCGGGATATATTGCAATTTTATCGGCGTTAAAACCGCCAACATCAACGTCCGAGGGATTATCCTCGATCTTTTCGGGATAAAATCGCGAATTTATCGCGTTATTTTCGAAATGAAACTCGGGATAAATGGTGATTTAATCTCGATTTTATCGACGAAAATTGATCGCGATTTTATCGAACCAAAAATTGCGATGTGCAGCGATTCAATCGCCATATATCGCAATTTTTAATGCGATAATATCTCAATATATTGCCACTGATACAATAATCAACCGATAAAATCGCTATTTTTCGCGATCAGTGCTACTTGGGGTAGGGTTCATCTTTTATGTTTGTTTCTTCGCCTATACTATAGCTTCGACTTGATTTGCTGCAATTGTTCCAGGCACGAGGTACCGGTGACGGCTGACCCTATATCGATAGTGCATATGGACGAAGATGTGGTGGTGGTCAACAAACCTGCCTCCATTCCTGTAAGTGGCTTACCGACCGCCATTTGACAATTTTCAAACTTATGAAAACTCCTACCTCTTCCTTTCTACTCTCAGCTTCACTTCCTTTCGTCCCTGTTTAATTCCCTCTCAAAAAGACGCATCTATCTAAAGTTTCCCCGATTTTTACCCCATTTTCTTTATTTCCTCATCAGCGGCGCAGAGTGGATTGAGTCAATGGTCGGACAAAATTTGGAAACTTAAAAAGCTTATAACTCCGTTTATACAAAATTTTGAGGTCTTCAAAGCAGTTCCATTGGTTTTCTCGTGAAATTTTCCTCTGGAGGCAACCCTTTAAATTTAAGATGTGACAAAATAAACATCAAAATTTGCAGTTTTAGTCAAAAATTATATGTCCGACCTATGTGATTGACTCAATCCACTGTGTGGCGCGGTGTGCTTTGCGATATATCGATTGATTTTACATTTAAACCTGTGGGAAAGGATCGATAAACAGGTTGTTCGCAAGGAACACCTTGAAATCGATTCTTTACCATGGTTTCAAATGGAGAAATATCTATGATCGATCATTTACGCCTCGTCACTTTTTCTCGTAATCCTTTTTTTTTTTTTACAGAAGTAAATGACCAAAGTAATTGCCAGAACTGCTTTAAAGTAAATGCATTTTACTGAAACCACATGCATTAAATTGCTCAATCAGCCGTATATATTAATTTCTCTAACACTTACGACTTACGAGAGAGCTTAGCAAGTAGGAATTAAGTTCCTACGCATTTAATTCACTTAATGAATACGCTAATCTTGTTTGTTTTTTTTCACTTTGTCACCAATTACCAGATTAACGTGAGGAATCCAAGTTCTCTGTTGCCAATCGGTCATAAGTACCTACTTTTTTTCGTTTCTGGGGTCTGGGCTTTAATATTTTCAAAATGTTTAAAAAGTATTGTCCGTAAAACGTCTTACAAAGAATATCTTGAAAGATTTGTCTAAACTGGTTTTAAGAGAAATTAAACATATTACCAAAAATATCTTCGCGTTATTTTAAAAACACATTAAGAATATCCATAGAATATTGCCATGAAAAGGAAGAGTGCCGTATGAACATTCGGACTTAACCTTTTTCTTTTCTTTTCTTTTTTTCTTCTGTCGGGATTATTTTCCTTCGAACATTTCAGATATTTTAGATTGAATCGCAAGTAAAATTCTATGAAAAATTTGAAGGAATCTATAATGATTTCACCGAAAATTATCTCTCTGTAAAAAAAATGGACAGTGCCCGAAGGTTCATACGTTGTTTTTCCTCTGGACGGCAGTATAACTATCTTGAAAATAGTTTAATTATACTCAGAATATGACTGTCCTGACAATATTTCAACATATTTTAAACATACCCACATAGATGGCACGTATAACTATTAAAAAAAGTTTTTCGGATGCGAGAACCGAAGTACTTCAGATGTAAGAACTGATGTTTCAGATATTTGATCCGAACCTCGATAGCTAGATCTAAAGTGTTCAGATGCTCAATCCGAAAACTTCTGAGATCCATATGACCTACACTTCGGGTCCCACGCACGAAGTTTTTTTTCTCAGTGTTGAATATGGTTTCCACCGCACCGCGGGTAGTAAACCTGACACCGAGAAATTACGACGATTAAAGCGCGCAATGCGTGGTGTATTCCTACAGTCTTGTAAGCGCTAGTATGCGTTTTACGCCAACTGTCTGACTGCATACTGCATTTGGCGCAATGCGAGAAGTATCCATGCGGTCCTGTAGGCGCTAATAAGCGTGTCACTTCGACCACCGCGCCGCATGCAGAGTTTGGCGCAATGCCTGAAGTTTTCCTACAGTCTTGCAGGCGCTAATATGCGTTTAACGCCTGTTGTGATTTGACGCCGTATGATCATTCCAACGTTGCCTCATTTTTCCCGATAAAATATTTTTCAGAGAAAAGTTAGGAAAGTTCTGTATGTTTGCCTTTTTAGATTGAAAGCCTTTTTAAGAACTGAAGTTTCAGATAGGTGATCCGAACCTCGACAGCTACATCTAAAGTGTTCAGATGCTCAATCCGAAAACTTCAGAGATTCATATGACCTAAACTTCGGGTCCCACGCACGAAGTTTTTTTCTCCCAATATATTTTGAGAAAAATTCACTTCTGAATACAAGTGTTAAGCTTCAAAAAGTAAGCTTGAACTCTCTTTCCGTCCTAAGGCTCCAAGTAATTATGAAGCTTTTAACTTGTTTTCTTGAAAAAGCAAACACTGCATTTGTGCGCATATTTCTTTCGCTGATCGGAAATCACAACCTCGTGACTCGGTATGTGGAGCATTGACAACAGAGCAAACAGAACATCGAAGCTGTCGCGGCTCGGAATGCCACATGGCACGACGACCGAAATCTTGACCCCTCCTCATAAATACCTGACACGGTGTCAAACAAGTGACAATTAGGGTGATAGACACCCCTTCGGCCACGCGTTAGCGACTGAGACAGGAGGTCAGCTGTATTCCGGTCTTAGCGCAACCCTTAATTTAATTACAAGTGCTCCCCTGAGCATGTACTCGTGAACCTGCCCCCTCCCCTCCCCCGACTCTCAGCTGGCTCATTTACGGTTGTCTGTAATTGGTCATTAATTTTACCGCTCCGTTCAATTTGCTCAATAATTTGCATGCCCGACGCCGAAGTAGCCCTGTCGAGCGATCGCCCTAAGCCGATGCTGCCGTGCTGAGGAAGAACCCCGCATGAGCCTTCAGGCGTTGCCAAATTTCCTTCGATAAAAAGCGAATTTACTGGCAAAATCGTCATAATTCTTCCGTAAATTTTTCAGACGATTTCGTTCGCAATTCAGTCTTAAATATCGCGAAATTTCAAGGAAAAATAAGCGCGACTTCCCGCAAAAATACATGTTTTATCCGGAGACATTTGGCAACTCTCGAATGTTCATACGGCGTTTTTCCTTAGCACGGCAGAATAGACTGATGTAGCGATTACGTCATTCGTTATTCTATATATTTGATGGTTCCACCCGAGCAAATGATTTCTCGAGGGCTCTTGACCTCGCAACGATTTTGCACGTTTTCGCACTGAAAAAAAATTCTCGGCGTTTTTACCAAGGTCTGTTGGTACCTTTACCTTCTCACTTTTTTTACCAATTATTGGTAATTTTACCGAGACAGACTGGTAAGCTTACCTAAAAACCGGTATTTTTACTGTTTTTTCCAGGTAAGACTTTTATTGGTAATCAATTCCCGGTAACTTTGCCATTTTATCTCAGTAATTCTACCACAGTCGATAAAAAATATTGGCGTTTTTCCAAAGTCCGTAAAATTACCGAGAAAGTTCAATAATTTTACCGAGATTTCTCGGTAAGATTACCAATTCCATAAATGGTGATTTTACCAAGAAAAAACTGGAATCAAATAGAACCCTGAATTCTTGGTAATTTTACCCTTTTCTTAGTAAATACACCGAGATTTTTTTTCAGTGCGAATGGTTCCTTTTCCGCTTGAAACAACAAAACATGAGAGTAAATTAGGCAGCATCTTATGTAGTTTGGCTCTCTCTGGTGAATTCGTCCCATTGGATGACATCCAGAGGGCTGACATGCTGAGGAAAAACGCCGTATCAGACGTTGCCATCTTTCCCTCGATTTAGAACGAATATACTTGGAAAATTTTGATTGTTTTTCTTCCAGTTTTTAAAAAATTTTGTTCGCAATTTAATCTAAAATATCTGAAAATTTCGCATGTATAACCTTCCACCAAAACACATTTTTTATCAGGGTGAATTTCGCAACATTCGAATGTTTATACCAGTGCGAGGCGTGAATGATCGATTTTCGATATTTCCCCATTTAAAGCTGTGGTAAAGAATCGATTATTAAGATGTTCGTCGCGAACACTCTGTCTATCGATCCTTTTCCATAGGTTTAAATGGAAAATCATTCGATATATTGCAAAGCACGCCACGCCGCCACGCCACTGGTTCATCCATACGGCGTTTTTGCCTAGCCTGGCAGAGGGGAGGACTCTGGTTTTCCCCCAAATCATACTCTATCATACCCTACAATATGAAATTACAAGAGTACCGTATAACGCCTGAAATGCGAAGCGCTTCGAGGGGTTGGACCGCCTAACGATCAGGAGGCGTACTCCCTATACTATAATTGCGGCTTGTTTGCTCCGGTCTTCGTGTCTCTTTCTAAGTGCAAAATTTCGGTTTCTTTTACATTTTGTCGCTAATTTTCTGTTCATATTGTTGTAGGTTCACCCATGTGGACGATACAGGCACAATACTGTTGTGTTCATCCTAGCGAAGGAATATAATTTGAAAAACCTCCGGACGATCCATCGGTTAGACCGTTTAACCAGTGGTCTCCTCATGTTCGGCCGAACGCCGAAGAAAGCCAGGACTATGGAGCAGCAAATTAGAAACAGACAAGTTCAAAAGGAGTACGTTTGCAGAGTAGAGGGGCAGTTCCCATGGTTTGTATTTTTAGCACATTTCCTCCTCGGAGATAATTTCTTTTGACCTCTCTCGCACCGTTATAAAGTGCAATTTGCATAACACTAGCAGTACGGTTCTCAGTTTGGAATTGAAGTTCCACACTTGTTTGAATGTCCTGATGAAATAAAACAACCATCCGACCCCAGGTTCTTGCTTAATAGGTATCTCTTCTCGAAGCGATACCTGTTACGACACGACTGCGTGCCTGGTTGCGTCGACACGGAATGAAGGCGATTGCAGTTGAGCCGTATCTATTTGTCCTTCATTCTTGGTTTTTACTCACATAATGCCGTTTATTTGTAGGTACTTAGGAATTTTGAAATTTATCTCGAGAGAGCGGTGACTTGATTAATTTTCCTCAGAAGTCCGTTATGTGTACTGTAATTCCTATGCATGAGACAGTTCCAAGGAGATTTCAAGTTGTGAAAGTTTCCAGAAGCTTCTTAAACTTTCGACCTCAGTGACATTCAATGTTTTCTAAGTTAGGACCATGTTGCATAATTTTTGAACTATTTCATATTTTTTTTTAAAATTTAAAACTTTTTACTCTCCTGAGGGAAAAGGATCTCAGTTCTCGCAGGAAAATTTTTCAGGAGAAATATTTTTTTCACACAGGTTTGAAAAATCATAATTTGAATTTTCCTTGTAGGACTCAAAAACGAGTTTTGAGCAGTTTAGTTCATTTTTATGTCAAAGGGAGGTTTACAATTACATTTTAATTCGGCAGTATGTTGAGTCCCAAAAAACGTGGGAGATAAAAACTGAAATAGCTTTATTTTAAAATTATATTATTGTAACAACTGCAAACTCAAACCGTCATCTGTACAATTTGATTTTACTGTTTTTGGCGTTTTTTGTGCCAACACACCTGCACTGACACTGCTTACAGCCCGTCTCTCTGAACAATGGTACTTATTTCTCAATCTTGATTTTTATTGCACCGAGTCTCCTTTGTCTGTGGACCGTCCTAATCGGAGGTGTTTAAATGTTTTACCAGTTACTTGTTTCTTGGGCTAATTTGTTTATTGAACCAGTATTCTAAGGGGAAGAGTTTAATCTGATTTTTTTCCAGTTTATTTTTCCCCTTATTTTCCTTTAATATATTTTTTTTCCTCTTGGCTTTTCCAGTGAAACGATAGAATGCGATCAACCAATTGAAGTTGTCAGTTACAAAATAGGTGTGTGCAAAGTATCAGAAAAAGGGAAAACCTGTTCGACTACATTCAAACTGTTAGGGTACCATGCACCCACAAACACAAGTGTTGTATTGTGTCTCCCTCACTCTGGTCGGATGCATCAAATTAGGGTCCATCTTCAATTTTTAGGTTTGTATCATCTATTTTTAATGAAACTTCATCTCTTGTATGCTCTTGTACCATGTGGTATTACTTACCATTTTACACACGAAGTCGCAACAATTGTTGAAAAAACTATTAAAAAAATCTTAAATTTAAAAAAGACAACTCTTTTAAAAAAGGGGAACCCGTTTTGGCTATTTTTAAGTAAAATTTACGAGCGGTAAAATTTAAGTAAAAAAGTGTTAAAAAAACTCTTAAAGTATCAATTATACTTTTTCAACACTAAAAATGTGTGAAGAAAATGTTACAAGACTACGGTGATACTTGCAGAGTTTTTTAAACACTTTATTCCTTAGAGTTTACTTAAATTTGACACCTTGTAAATGTTCCTTAAAGAAAGTAGTCAAAAAGGGTTTCCTAATACGAAAATTTTAATGGTTTCTTTTAAAAGTTGTTGAAAAATGTTTCAAGAGGCCATTGCTACTAGGGATATTAAAATGGTATCTTGGCTCCCCCTAAATGTTTTCATATGAATTGTTTTGATTGTCATGCACTAATTTTGTGATGTAAAAGTGTTAGTAATGATGAAGTTGGTTTGAACATTTTCAGGGTATCCAGTCGTGAATGATCCACTCTATAATCATGAAGTTTTTGGACCATTAAAAGGCCGTGGAGGCCTGATTGGGAAAACTGACTCGGAACTTGTAAGAGATCTCATTCGGATTCACAATGCTGAGAATTGGCTGGGAGTCGATGCCGATCTGTCCATGTTAGATGAAGACTTAGGATCTCCGAACAATAAATGTAAGAATTCATCATCATTAAAAATAATTATAGCTAGCATAATCAGGACTTACAGCTAGCATAATTAGGATTTATAGCTAGCATAATTAGGATTAATACTCTGTAGTTACCTCTCTCACTAATAAAGAAAAAAAAATATTAATAATCAAGTATAGGTATCTAAAGGTACCTAGGAACAATGTAGAGAAAATACAAAATGAGCAGAACAAGAAAGCACATAAGGAATTAAACCCAAGATATTAAGGAATACAATGAAGAAAAAATAGAAATAAACAAAAATATTCTGATTTTCACAGTTTTAAATGTATCGAAATTTTTAAACTCTTTGATTAAAGAACATAAATAAATGAGAATCTTAGAGTAAAAAAAGACTTTGCACAACCGAATTCTGTAATGTATACCCAAAAATAAAACCCCCTGTTCCTTGTGCCATTCTTTTTTATCAATAAGTACAAAACTCACAGGAAATAATTTTCCTGAGAATACATAAATTCTGCATAGGTATTTTAATGAACATTGAAAAGAAAAACAGTTTTTGTTATGGAGCCTTAATAAATTGATCTCAAGCTTTTGATCTAGAACTGTAGGTCTATGAATGTATCGTTCTATTAGTGCAATAATTGAGGGGCTTGGAGGACAAGGCACAAGGCGCTTAAGAGCAGTTTTTGCTACATCAAGAGATACGTATTGAAAGTTTCAAATTTACATGAAGCCTTACGGCAGAAAGAAAGTTTTAACTCACTTTTTGGTGCTTTAAAGTTGGATTTTAATTGTGAATTTTTCACAGAATATTTATAGTTGAGTTCATGATTATCTCGACTTTTTCAAAAACTGCACTTATGGGCCTTGTCTTCCTAGCCCTTCAGTTCATCAACTTTCACAAAAACGAATTTTCTGGAGGGAAGTTGTTTGTTTCCTTTAATTTTTCATGTACCCATCTTGATGTAAGGTACCTCACTATTATAATTCCAACATACAATTTTTTGTAATAAAATTTTCCAGGTTTGAGCCGAGAGCCTTCTCCATGTGAAGTCACTCCATCTTCACCTCCCTGCCTTTCTACTAGTTCAATTCCTCTCTATGCTAATAATAATAATGGTATCTGTAGCATATCAAGAAAAAAAGTAACTGTTGCCACGCAGACAGGCCATGAAGCACCGGATTTAAGTTTTGATGCAGAAAAATTGACAACGGATCCTCATTGTTATGAATGCAAAGTTAGGTATAGAGATCCAAAGCCTCAAGACCTAGTAATGTTTCTCCATGCATGGAAATATCGGGTAAGGCATCTCAGATTGTATTTGTTCCCCTTGCTCTCTATCCAAATCGTTTCAATCCGTTTTGTGTTTTCGTGGATCCTTAGCGTTTCTAATTTGCTCCTGTTTGGATTTTTTTTTTTTTAAATTTATTAGTATCTTTACACATGTACACAAATTTGAACGTACATGTTTCCTGTTTGACTTGTGATTAAGAAATTCACAGCTGGACTTTAAAATGAAATTTCTCTCCCCATATTTTCATAGTTTATCCTCTTTTTAGCAGAATACAAAATTCTTCCATGAAATCATATATCGATTGCCAAAGTGTGAAACAACTTATCTCCGTTTATGACGTTGCAGTCTTTCCGTCATACTTTATTTTTTCCGTGGAAAACTAGTCAACGTAATGACTTGAAAACTTCCTTGATATGTTTTCTCTGGTATCAGAATATTTTGTATAAATTACTAGCTATTAAGTTGGCTTGTTCCTCTTTGAAAAGATTAAATAAGAGCAGACTTTACAAAACACTACAATGATGGCACGTGGTTTCACACGTCGGTTATCAATATCCAAAATACATATAATTACAGTATACTTTACGATAGACAAGAGAAAATTTAGAAACAATTCAAATTATGTTCAAGTCTAGTTTCAGCATCAATAAGCAGCTAGATGGCCTTATCATGGCTTAGATGCTGGGGTCATGCACCACTTGGAAACATTCAGCTTAGTTCTTCTTTTCACTTATAATATTGTCACTACCCTGCTGGTATCACTAACCTTATTTCTTATTTCAAATTATTTTTTCAGGGTCCTGGCTGGGCATATCAAACTGAACTTCCTGACTGGGCTAGAATTGACTGGACAGAATCTGTCGATTGATAATCAAATTTCTCACGAAAGTTGTCTTCAACAAATCAACAATTCATTGTGTTATAATGACAAGGAATGTATGCTGTCAAACATTTCCAAGTTTTTCTAAGTTAAATTTGCTTACAGGCTGGATATCATTTTGTTGATTGCAAAGTGAGCACCCTTTTTCTGTCCTCTCACCTCTTAGATTTTTTCAGAGGTTTATTTGTATGTTGTAAATCTTACAACACAATGTTTTTATTTATGTCTGCCAGATGATTGTAAGTAAAATGGGTACCATCCATCACATGAAGAAGGCAAAAATTAACATGATATTGAAATTTGCTTAATATTCCTCCAGGGTCGTTCCACGCCAAAGCAGGCCAAAATAGAGGTTTTTTTACCTAATTTAACTTGGCATAACCCTCCACCAAGTAAAATGAGCTATTAGAATTCATGCAGATTTTGGAATTCTGCTTGGTTTATTTTTTCTAAATTTAACAACTTCAAAGTGTAATCGCGTTTACAAAGAAATTATTTTCCATTTTGTGTTGGTTATCTCACACATTCCGCTCAGTGGCATGCGTGGTTGATCTCTCTCTATAAAATGAATTACATATTTTTACCTTTTTTTGGCATCAAACTTTAACCCAAAATTATATCAAATTTGATGAGTCATCAAAGAAATCAATGAATAATTATATCTTGCCAAAACGGTCTAAAAGAATTTAAATTTATGAATTATCGTAATGTCCCATACTTTCTTCCAGGTACAAATCCAGCTTACTAAATTGATCACTTGTTTTAGATTCTTGAGTCTTATTTCCGCAGCATGCTCTCCCCTGAAGCCATTCTTGAAACCAGTGCTAGGTTTTTAATGTCTTGTTGGACTAAGAACAAATAACAGATCACTCGTTTGGTTTGAACATGTCTTAATTTGCAATCAACAAAACTGATGGATATCAGATCAAAGGTTTATATTTGAATTCGTTTAGGTTAAGTGACATGATCAGAAGAAGACGCAAAAATTGAATCCGGTAGTTAAACTTTTTAAAACACATTTTAAAAGTTTTTTTTAAAAAAAAAGTATCGCAGGTTATGTATCATTATAACTGGTATGATCGTCAGCATGTTATAATGTGTAAGTTTTAACTCTTTCAATTAAGTAATAATGAGCTTTAAATTTTTGGAATGTTCAGTCTCATATTTTTTTTTAATCTTTTTAGGTCTCTTATCTTTTACGAAATTTTGCTTGTTATGTTGTAAAACCAATTTTGTTTATAATGAAAATTTTATTCGATATTTGTTCGCAAAAATTCCTTTTTTAAAGTTTAGAAATTTTTAAAGTGGGGTACTTTTTTAAATTCAGTAGAATTATTTAAATTAATTCCTCTTTTTTCCACAAATTAATAGTTGTGCTTGTAGTTTGTCATATCGCTGATACTTACTGATAGGTTTCTTTCTTTAAGAGCTTTTTACCCGATTCTTTTGTCTGTTTGTCCTTAGCAAACGATTCATACTTATTAGCTCCAAATAGGATCCTCCAAAGTCTCAGGATGTGGACTGCAGCTGGAAGCTGCTTAGGATAACTTCATAGGATGTTCCAAGAGTTTTGTCGTCAATCCTAACTTTATTAAACAAATACAGTTAGCAAAATACGGATTCGACCTTCTTAACAAAGAGAGAATAAAAGACCTAAAATTTCAATATCTAATGAATATTTTATATTCAATGACTTTTAAAAATTTCGTAACAAATACTATTTAAGTTATTTTTGCTAAGCAGCAGATTATCTCCTATATGAACAATCCATCACCAAGGCTTGCTATTATTCCTGTTTCGAGGATTCCACTCTAACCATACGAACCTCAATTATCTATGCTTAAAAGTAGCTTTTGTTAACTGAGAAAGGATCTCAAAATTCCAATTGTCCAAGAGCCCTCTCAAGAAGATGCAGGCTACAGCAGGGATTGAAAACGTGTAAGAAATTCTGCGTTTATCATGGTAAATTGTTCAATGTAGCAACGGGACTCGTCAGAATTTTTGAAATACTACTCTCAAAATCTTTATGATCAAGTTTTAGGATACATTTTTAAGCGATTTGTAGTTTTCCTTTTCTTTGCCAAAAACAGGCATTTCCTGCAATCAAAATTTAATATTATTTTTCATTACATGGGGAATTTGTTGATCAAAAAGGTTATTAAGCTCTGAGGTCTTGCATAGGAATGAGTGATTCAACTCCCAAAATAATTTAGAATAATTAAAAGTTTTATCGAATTATTTGCAACCATACCTATTATTTATTTTTATAGTATTAATCACCAAGTGATGAAAATAATCATTGTAAGTTGGTCTGCATTTGCGACAGAGTGAATTCGATTCACTGTGCTCGAAGTTCTCGTAGATCTAAGCGAAATTTTACTTTTGATTGTCTGACAATTGTGCCTAAATGGGTTCCGTTCAATCAGAATCAATAATGGGACTTTGGACCCCAAAATGAATGCAAGATTTTCATTTTTCCTGCTTGCAGGTTTCATCAAAAAATCATCCTTTTCAATTTCTTTCTTTTTATCATTGATAATCAATAGTTTCTAAGCTTCTTTTCCTCCGTTTAGTTTAGTTATCCCATTCTTTGTTTTACTTTATTTGTTATTTGATTTTACTGTATGATGAAATATTGTGATAAATTTTTGTTAAGTGCAGCCTCTTATGGTCACTGATGATAAATTGAATGTCAAATGTTCGTGAACTCTAGTAATTTTCCATCCTCTTACGTCCATGCTCTTAACTGACATTGCATGTTTACTTAAGTTAAGTTTTGTCAAAATTTTCTCTTCAATAATCATTATTACTGCATAGAACTTTCCTCTTGGATGAATCTTAAGATTATTTGAACAAACCTTTCAAGGAATGTGACTTATCTAACTGCAAAAGTGATAGCACAAAAATGCTCCCACCAAATTAATCTCAGTGTAGTAATTTATGAGACTATCATGGATTTGTGCATCAGGAGTTTGGACGTCCCTTTCTTTAGAGGCATTACTTAGAGTGATACTTTCACTAAATGTAAAAGTAATTCTTTTTTTAAAATTTTTCTTGAACTTTTTGTTTTAAATACGCAAGATACACCTCTCTTTATATATTTTTTTTTTTTTTTAAATGTTAATCTCAATTGTCATTTTTTATTCCCACCATCAGTTTTTCAATTTCTCAAGAGGTTTATCTCATGAATCAATCGTTTGATGAGCTTACCAAAAAATTTATGTTGCACTCTCTTGAATATCATTTGAATTAATCATTTGTCAAAACCCAGGTACCTATCTGAGAGAAGTCTCTGAAGAATTGCTGCTAGAAATTAATTACTTCTAGAAACAGATCAATGCTTCATACAAAATTACTTTGTCCCATTAATTATAGTTTACGTAATGAAAATTTAATATTTTCTATTACTTCAGAGATAGTTATTTTTTCATCTTTATTAAATCCATTGTATTGGTGCCCTGCCGTAAGTTTTAAACCCAACAATAGATGAGATAGCTACCATATTTTTGGGCACCTACTTCTCAAAAGACCTTTTCCAATCTTATGATTTAAGAGGAAGAAAGTATTAGAGATGTTATTCCTACAGAATAACATTTATGACGTGATAGTTAATAGCTACCAATGCAAAAAAGTAGAGTGTCCTTTAAAGTTTTTGTCTGAGTAATTTTTTTTTATATTTTATTCTATTTTTTTGTTATAAACTATAATGAAAGTAGAACCTTTGTAAAAACCACATTTTGTAATATTTTTGCTCTTGAACCTGAACTAAAATAGCTGGTACGTCATGATTCTGATGTACTGTTACTGTGTAAAAATGATTGTAAAGTGTGTATAGGCACCTAGCATCCTGAACCAGCAAAGCTTTGCAGGTTCCTAATTAAAGAAGAATAAAAGTTATTTTTTGTCTAAAACTTGAACCTGACTTCTTGATTTTCTTTTTCTTGACACAAAACAGCAACTTACAGGTTTTACTGTACCTAGGTGAATCCTTATGCTCACTGTTACTTTAATTACGTCTTACCTCTCAAGTTACCTTGGCATAAATCCATCGGAAAAAAACCAACATGCCTTTAACCGGCCGTCATTTTGGAAAAATTTCAGATGATGATTTCGTGTTGCCTTTTGATGAAACTTCCATTAAGACCATAGAGTCCCTGACTGCTTAGTGTTTCAAGGGATTCAGCTACACATTCATTCATGCGAAACATCTAACTATTAGCCACCTAAACTGAGAGAAAAATTAGATTTGATCGAGATTCAATTTATAGTCTGTATTAAATAACGGAAAAAGGTTAAGAATGTTTGAGCTCATAGGTGAAACGTTAAAGATGAACTAATTTATGAGTGTCAAAATTGAAATGAAGGTTAGCAAGTGGAAAGGGGACAAACACAATTATTTATAAATGTTTATTACAACAAAATATGATTCCACATTGGTAATCATTTTTCAGTAAAGAAAAATAAAATAAAAGCTAAAATATTCTAAGCTTTAACAACTGCACTAAAACTTATGCAAGTAATATCTCTGAAACACATGGTTCAAAATAATTAAAAAATTAAATGAGATTAAGATTCAAAACAGTCATTACTTTGGTCAGGAATAAATGCACTTTATAATTATAATCAAAAAAGAGTACAGAGAAAAATAGCCTCCCTATCTGCTCTGATTGAAAAACAAAACAATAGATTGCAATTGCATGAGAGCAATGTAAAAAAATATTTATTGATGACAGCTTTTGCAAAGCAAGCAGTGAACATTACAATGAACCAGTTGACAAGGTGCGAATTGAAGCATTATGCTATATCGACGGTGCAAGTCGGCAATCACATAACTCGTTTGCGGTGTCTGAAAATCTCCGCAACTATGTTATTTTTTCTAAGGAGAACAAATGGACATGATTCCTTGAAGTTTTTGCAGAATTTTCCTCGCACATGGAAGAAAAATCACGGAAGTTTTAAAGAATTACCGTTGAGTAGTTTTCCGTTTAAAAAATAAAGTATGACAGGAAGTCTGCGACGTCGCAAACCGAGTTATGTGATTGCAGACTTTCACTGTAGATATGTTCTTCATCAAAACTTCTTGTGAAATACGATTTGTGTAGAAGAAATTACTGAGAGTAATTCCTATTGAAAATATTAACACTTTTTTAATAAATCTTCAACGTTTTTCAATAAAGCTTTCCACTTAAAAAAAAACCATGATCTTCTTAAGTTAAATCGCACACTGAACATTACTGTGCCAGTCTTTGCAATATGAATAAACAACCAGTGCCGGGCTGGTCCGATAAATCATAAAAAATTGCCCTTTAAACCCGAAATACGATAATGTCTTCTAATCTGAGCTCTTGTCGAGAATGCTTTCAAAGCTTTAAATTGTGCTGGATTCTGTGTATAATTATACCTACATTTATGCTAAAAGCATTTGTGACCCTCTTCCCNNAAAGCCATAAAAATTTGAACATAACATAGGCACACAACTTTAACCACTGGGGCGTGTGACCGAACTTTAAGCTTCCGTTGCCCCAGGAGTTTCATCACCCCCACAGCCCCCATTTCATCTCATACATGCTGTCTCTAGATCCAGGCATGATGTGTGAATTTAAGGAGAGAGGAGGAGGAAAAAAAGGAAAATATAAGAAAAATTTGAGGTCTCAAATTTTAAGAGGTCAAGTTCCGACAATCCAGCAGCTTTCTCAAGAAGCACGGCCATCCCCACAATTGTTAGAGGTGTTCCCCGCCCAAAAATTAAATTTTCACACATTTTTCCTACATACTCTTCTCTGTTTCTCTCTTTCTTTACATTTTTCTCTTTTTCTCCTGACAGACCTGCCCTACGATAGACCTGTCCACCGGGAAAAGCCCCAATAGTTCCATATGACCGGTCCCGGCCTGTATACAACAACCTCAATGTCAGCACTTTGTCTCAGCTATCGAACATTGTTTACACCTTGAACAACACAAGGTGGGGAAAAAACAATTACTTCTTGAGAGGCCTGTCAAAACCATTGAATTGTGCGATTCGATTCAAGTAAACTATGGTTTTTCATGTTATGTAGTGGAAAATTCAAATTCTTCGTTTTTGCCTCACGAAAACATTATTGTTTGGTTGGGAGTTTGTGAGGGAATGAATTCTGTTCACACTGAGTTCTTCCCCTCTCGCTTTTTTTTACCATGACGAGTTACGATGAATCAATTTTCCAGCTTGGAGAAAGCTCCATGCCGATTGAGTCATGTCCGATTTTTCGCCGGTCCAAGGTTTTTGAGCCAATCGTGTTCAACGTAGAATTTTGAAGCAAAAACATATGTAAGAACGCTTGAATTTGTAACTGATCCAGTGGTCAATTGGTTTAACCTCTGCGTTCTAAAATAGTGTACACTCAAGACTGTTGAGTAGACTGTATGAGACACTACAACATTTGGACCGCGTTAAGCAGAAAGGAACCAAGCCACATCAGCTATTGCCAAATTTAATTGGCTAATTTAATTTTTTACGTGAAAACAGTTGTGCGGATTTTTGTGCAAATTTCAGTGAATTTTCTTCATAGTACAAAGCAAATTTCTCAACATTTTCAAACGAATCCGCACAAACGTTTTCTCGTAATAAATTAAATTTCCCAGTTAAAATTGGCAATAGCTGATGTGGCTTGGTTCCTTTCTGTTAAACGCGGTCCATTTAACAGCCACTTTTGCCTGTGGGTGAGCCTGTAGTTAATTTGCATTTGAAGTAAAAAACATAGAGGTCTTTAAAGAGTTGGTAAGTACTATCCGTTCAACTTAATCTAGCTACTGGTTGGAGGACAGCTTAAATCGTCGCCCCACTAACGTAAAGGCGTACCTCAATTTTCACCTGAGCCCTGTTGTCAGTTTAACTCTATGCCTTACAGAGCTCACACGGAAATGAAGATAGGTTCACATCAAAAGAGCGACAAAATGTTATGAATATTGAAAGAATTAAACTTTTGGGAACTGTGAAAATAATAAAAAAAATTTAAAAAAAAAAAAAAAACTTGAATTTTTGGACAAGAAGACCATTTAACATACTGGTCACCAAAATCTAGGTTGAACAGGATCTATTTTAGCCTTTCTTGTAATTTCTTCTAGCTAAATTTTTCTACCTCTTTTTATAGAGAAATATTTTTGGGCAAAATATCTATGCTTGATTTTTCTCTTCTTGATCAGGTCTGCTACTTCATGAAGACAAAATTTCCTGGATGGTATACGTTCTAATTAAGTAAAGGTAACTGTAAAATATAATTACGGCGAAAATGTTGGCTCTTGCTGGTTTAGATTAGGATTTTTCTTAAATGTTGCTTGATCATCATAAGAGGATAAAATTCATTCAATGTGCAGTATGAAATTATTAAGGAAGGCAACTCAAATTTCAAGAGCAGGATGCAAGGCATCTTAATTGGCAGGAGCAAAGACAAGAACTCAAACATATTTTTTAATGATTGTAGTGATGAGTATCTTTTGTACGTTGAGAATTGAAACCATCACGTCAAAATACAATAAAATTCTACTTAATCACAAAAGACCTGAGTCAAAAGGTACCCTAATTGATTCATTTTTAAGATTGCTAAGTGTGTTTTGAGAAGAGCCAATATCTGAACGAGTAATAGGGAATGCTGTTCCTCAGACTTACTTAAAATAATACTTTTGTAAAAACTTTTTAATATCACATATGAGTTGACAAACTTTAACATACATCGCGAGTGCTGATCACCTTCAAACAGAGCACCGCAGCAGATAAAGTTGGCTTGTACAAACAAGGATGCAGATTATGGAGTCAAATGTTAGGAAACAACAGAGTATCGATTCATTAACATTAAATGGCAGGTATCACACACACGCTCAGGTTTTGCCGAGGATGGCATTGGCATCGTATTGTCTGAGCACGCGTTGCAAAAAATCTCTCCGCAGTTACGGCAATGATGCTGAAAAACAAAGCAAAAATGATTTTGAGCATGAACACAAGTTCTTAAGGACAAATTAAAAATGTTTTTTACAAATTGATTTAAATCATAAGCACTTTCAGATTGAGTTGATCTGCGAAAGAAAAAAAACAAAATGTAAATACAGCAATAAAATTGTGCAAAGTGGATGCAAACCATATCATCATAATCTTTGCTTACTGTTATTTCTGTGTTTATGGAACATTTTGATGCTTCTGAAGATGAAATCAGTCCAAGAATTCACTCAGGAATAAATTATTTCAAACAAAAGAATCTTTTGTTCCAAGGCGGATTAAGAATGGTGGTCGCATTTCGATTTTGGCTGCCATCTTGAAGCGTTGTGACGTCAGGAGGGTACAGGTTTTGCCACGCATTTCGAGGTTGAGCCGCCCCTCCCCCCCACCGGCTCATGTACCTGATACCGTTTGACGTCCTGAGGGCACGAAATGCGACCACCATTGTTTATCCGCTTTGCTTTCGTTCATTTCAACTAGGTTGGACATAATGAAATGCTGTGCTTCCGAAATTTTAAATTTTGAGTAAAAAATGAAGCAAAATGTTCAGAAAAACTAAAGTCGCTTTTATGGTAGTCTAGAGCACTTTTCCTATTTAAACGTAAATTTTATTACAAAATTACACAAGCATCAAACAATGAACTCAAAATACCACTGAAGTTAAAATTCAGCCTGGTCCTTTGAGCTTTAACCGATCAAGTTAGCGAGATTTCACTGTGCATGTAGGTGTTTCTAAATATTTAAGTTTTAGTTTTTTGCCCGCTGCTATTTTCAAGTTAGTTTAATGGGTAAAATTCTGATACTGATATAAAGTCTTACTTTTCTGCGAGCTAAGGTAAATTCTCTAGCACATGCATGACATTTTGACGCTTGCTTGTCATCTACCCACTGAGCATCACTGCGGGCCTGACTGGCACTTTCCTTCAGATCTTCAATTTGCAACTTTGACAT